CAGTAGCTTTAGTGGGGAAGAATTATAAATTCTCTTAGAAGTTTGATTTATTCCTGCTTTTGCAATTGTATTCTGTTTTAGATATGCGGAGTTGGCTTAGTAACTTAAAGGTTTTAAGACTGCTCATGTCATGATGCAAATTCCATATGGCTTATTTTGGAATTCAGCAGTTGCAGAATCAAGTATAGAGCAAACTTTTCTGTTTATATTTGAAGAACTTTAAGTATTTAAACTCTCATTTTATCAAGTGTTTTTTCCTCTCAAGCCTTGTAACAAATATGTAGTGTTGGTTTATTTTGTATTGTAAATATTAGTGTCTGTCTTGTTTAAATGTTACGTTGAATACTAATTAGGGAATAGATTTAACATACCCTATAATTCTAATGGGTGTTTAGCCATGGAGACTTCCTCCCACACTGTAGATTGTGAAATTTTAATCCATTTACAGCAGACTTCCAATAATCTGGCACCTTTGGGACCCAGGGGGTGCTGGATTATTGGATATGCCAGAGTATCAGGAGGTACTCCGGCAGGGGGGCTGTGACGGGGCGGGGGGAGAAGGGTCAGGCGGGGAATAGCACGGCGTGGGGTGAACCAGGTGCTGGTGAGAGCAGCTGGGGTGCTGCCCAGTTGGTCCCGCAGCGCCTCATTATGTATTGATGGGTAATTAATTTGAAAAACTAACAATACTAAGTTTTTCTAAAAAAGAAACAAATGGTGAACTTCAAAATAGCTTTTTCATGCAGTTTCCATTTTAAGATCTGATTCATTAAAGTACTTAAACACTCCCCTTGATTTATTGTATTGAAACTTTAATAGAGGGATCTTCTTAAGCAATCTGTAATGTGGCAGATTTTCCAGTACACTTACCAATTTAGTTACTTTTACTTGATTTATATTAACTGTTTACATCACGAAACCCTATAGGGCAGGATTATAGTTATAAAATTATAATCAGACTAAAATTACAGAAAATGATTTTTTTCAAACTACTGGTTGGACAATGTCCTCAATCCAAGTATCTTTCAATTAAAGATAGACAATGTATTTTGCGCATATATTTGCTTACATCCCTCTCTCCCATTATTTAAAAAAATGGTTGGGCAAAGTGATCTTAATAGCTAAGGTGATTGGTTACAAGCTCCTATTTTGAATGTTCATTTACAATCATTCCACTGAAGCTCAAACAAGTTTGTTCTCTCAGCTGAATTTGCTGAGTAGTGGCACTGAAGTACCTTTTTCTGTACAGAATTCTTTCGGTTAGATAGAAATGCAAGCTTCTTCGTGCACCACTGCCTGGGTGATTAGTGGATAAGACAACAGATACTGTACACTTAACTGAAGCCAATTTTCATTTCAGTTCATTAAGATCACCAATAGCATTTCAGTAAGAGGAAGCAGTACTACTTTGAATAATCATGTTAGGTAGGTATCTATCCCGCCTCACTTCACCATAAGTCTGATTTATAGGGTGAGTTTTCCTAGCATAGATATTGGTTAGGAGTGTGGAGAAAAATGTCACTTCCATGATCAATGTAGCTATGCTCCCAAAACTATCTGGCTACGTCTAGACTGGCATGATTTTCTGCAAATGCTTTTAATGGAAAAGTTTTTCTGTTAAAAGCATTTGCGGAAAAGAGTGTCTAGATTGGCACGGACGCTTTTCCACAAAGTACTTTTGCGGAAAAGCGTCCCTGCCAATCTAGAGGTGGTTTTGCACAAGAGCCCCAATCACCACTTTCGCCATCGGGGCTTTTTTGCGCAAAACTGTTTTCAGTTGTCTACACTGGCCCTTTTGTGCAAAAGCATTTCCAGAAAAGGGCTTTTGCCCAAACGGGAACGTCAAAGCATTTGTGCAAGAAGCACTTTTTTTTTACAGTAGAACGTCAGTGCTTTTGTGCAAAATCAAGCAGCCCGTGTAGACAGCTGGCAAGTTTTTGCTCAAAAGCAGTCACTTTTGTGGAAAAACTTGCCAGTTTAGACGCATCCTCTGTATAGGTACAATCATGAGGCAAAGTCCTTTTGCTGCTGTATCTTTATTTTATTTGGGAAACTTGTAGAAACTCTACTGCATTTAAAAATAAACTTCCTGATGCAAATCCTAGTGGAGACAGCTTACGTGTATACCATCCTAATATGTGATCACTTTTCATTTGAGGATGTTATGCAGGTAGTCTCCAAATAGCAAACTTAAAACAACCCTACAACCCACTTAAATTTTTACGATTAGCACTAAAACTACAGCCACCCCCTGCTATTCTTCCATTGTAGAAAATACATGGTGCTTTCATTCTGGTGTGAAATTCTTGGGTCTTTGTGGCGCTCACTTATAAGATAGGAGCTATCCAAACAAAAAAACCTCCTCGATCTGAGATTGCACATTTAAGATTTCACTGAACTAGTAAACAATACTTGTACAGTGATTCGTAAACCTTTTTGAGCATACAGACTCTTTCAATTTATTAATTTTAGACTCCCTCCAACAATGTAGCTGTTTTCAAACATTCCATTGTGATAACATGAACTATTTAAATGATTATCTAAACAAAGAATAGTATTGAAAGAAGATACTGTCCACATTGAAATAGAACAACTTTGAGGTGCCATATATTTTTATTCTATAAAATTTTATTGGCTCCAATGTTTTTCTAGCAGCCCAACTAAACCTTTCCTGCCACGTGACCATTTATAGTAGAGTGACATATTCCAAATAGAAGAAAAGCCACTGAACTGTTTATAAACCAACTCCAGGGAACAGTCACAGCTTCTCAGTTGCAAATTCCTTAGCCTATGCTGAAAACTGCAGGGCACGGAGCTTTTCGGGTCCCATTGGCTGCTCTTTCCCCCCATGCTGCTTCCTCAGTGCCTGTCCCCTACCCATCCACAGAGCAAGGGGGCTCTTGAGGCCAAAGGGAGCTCTGGAGCTGCCAGCTCCTCAAGGGTGGAATTTTGGGAGGGTAGAGAGCAAGGTCAGAACTTAAGGGCTATGTCTACAGTGCAGGCTTTTTGCTCAAGAATAACTGTTCTTGTGCAAAAACTTGCAGAGCATCTACACTGCACGCGCCTTCTTGTGCAAGTAAATTTACAGCATTGGAAAATGGCTTCTTCCAGAAGAGTTATTCTTCTCCCCCTGAGGAATAAGTCCTCTTGTGCAAGAGCTCTTCCACAAGAATGCAGTGTAGATGGGCACTATGAATTTCTTCCGCAAGAAACCTCACACTGCCATGGATGCTCTTGTGCAAAAGCACATGGCAGTGTGAATGTGCTCTTGTGGAAAACCTTTTGCAGAAGAACTCTTGCACAAAACAGTTCTTGTGCAAGAAGCCTGCAGTGTAGATGTAGCCCATGAGTGTAGGGGAGAGGAGTAGCAGCCATACAGGCTGGGATGCAGCTTGTTTTTGATCCTATTTCCCTGTCTGCTAAGGGAGCAAGGTGAAAGTGCTTGCATCCTGTGCATGCTTTTCATACACCAGGGCATGCATGGCATGCCAGTACTTTCCCCATGCTTCCTTAACTTTTGGAGAATTGGACTGTGGTGGGCCTTGTCCTTAATTTTAAAAGCTTTCCAGGGACGACCTACAGTTCACAGATTGGGAACCACTGGTCTAGTACACTTCTCACATGAAAAATTTAAACAACAAATAGTCTGGTAGCACCTTAAAGACGAACAAAACATGCAGATGGTATTATGAGCTTTCCTGGGTGCAATCCTCTTCTTCAGATGACTGAAGTATTAGAAGCCCAAATCCAAGAATGCGGGGGGGGGGGGGGGGGAAGAGAGACAGTGAGCAGATGGTTCAAGTAGTTACAAGAGGCTGCTAAGAACAATTAGCACCTCCATTGGTTAGTTAAGTCATTAGGATGTGGAAGGTAGTGTGGGAGCCAGCTGATGTCCCTGTTCCTATTATTTGCATAAGAATTAAATTTGTAAATGAAGTTCTCACATGCTCAGGTTCACTACATTAAGAAGCAATACAAAAATTAACAAGGTTATACCTGAACCTTCATGTATCTCTAGCAGAAAGTACATTTACCGTATATACTCGAGTATAAGCCGAGTTTTTCAGCACATTTTTTGTGCTGAAAAATGCCCCCCTCGGCTTATACTCGAGTCAGCGTCTCGAGAATTGAGGAAAGTGAGTACGCTGGTCAGGTTCTAAGGCATCCAGGTTGTCATATCTGTCAGGAGGTGTTATTGTTATGGACTGCGCTGTAAATTCATCATCAAAGTATCTCGTGTCAATTTCTGAGGTCTGAAAGCTCTATGTATGTGCGATGAACAGCGCACATACATAGGCTTGTTGGCTGCACAGTGACTGCCAGTGATTGGCTTGTCACTGTGCTGTGGGCAGGGGGCGGGTCCGGAGGCAGAAGCGCGGCTCGGCGCAGGCTGAAGAGAAGAGATAAGGTAAGGGGCCTGAATGGAAAGGATAAAATCCTTATGGAAAGCAGGATCTGCCCAGGGATTGTGGAAATATTTTATCCTCTGTGTCGGGGGAATGGTATATGTGGAGAGGGAGTTGCCATCTGCAAGTTTCCCTCAGCTAAAAACACGAAAACAGCTAGGAAGCCGGGACACCTGAGGAAAAGAGCTATGGGGAGCTGATTGAGCTTGGTTGCTGATTGAGCTAAGGTTGTTGTACTTTAAAGTTACGGTATTTTTGATACCATATTGTTTTTGTTGACCCCCTTTTCCACTTACAGAGCTAGGTTATTGTTTTTCTTTGAAATAAATATTCATGTAATTTTATTGGTATCTATCTTCATTTTTTACATTTACCAGTAGCTGCCTCATTTCCTACCCTAGGCTTATACTTGAGTCAATATTTTTTCCCAGTTCTTTGTGGTAAAATTAGGTGCCTCGGCTTATATTCGGGTCGGCTTATACTCGAGTACATACGGTATACCTTCTGTAAAGTAGTACACAACTTTCATATGACTGATGCTTATCTATTTTCACGTTTATTTTTTAAGTGGTCTGTATTTTTAGTCTAGGGTATTGGAGGCTGAGTTACTTCTGATATCTTCCATATTACACAAACTAAAAATATATTTTCCCCTATCACTGAACAGGTAAATAAAGTTAAGTGATGCAGAGAGGAGCAAAAGGCAAATCCCTGCCTTCCCGGTATATCCCTGACTTCCCAGCAGTTAAATCAGATGACTTCTGTGATTTTAGGGTTGGAGGGCGACGAAACCCTAGATGGAGAGGTCCTGACATTTGAGAGGGGCAGCGATGTTGAGCACTACCCTTCCAAAGGCGTTTGCAATGCGGGCTGAAAATGAACAGTGTTTGGAGCGTGCAGGTTGCTAGGGAACATCAGTGCTTGTCAAGCACTAAGTGGAGCTGGTGTCGTCTTATGAGCGGGGAGAGGTCAGCGATCCCTGCTCCCTTGCAGACAACAATCACCCTCCCGCGTGGTTTCCTTATAGTTTTTGTCCGCTAACCATAGAAATGACAACGCAGCATCCCAGCTGCCTCAAGCGACAGAAGGGGCGGGGCCTACCTTGAAGCTGGCGCTTGAGCGCGGCGCACGGGCGGGGCGGGGGCAGG